ACTAGATACTCTACCCTTAAGATCTGAGACCGGACGACTTAGTTATACCTTAAGTGATATTTGGGCGAACTAGTGACTGAGTTGGACATACCTTAAGTGACATCCGTCCGAGTTAGCGATTAAGGTTCTAACCAAAAAGTGTAATTATTTTACAGGGATGGAAAATGGAAACGGAACCCCGACAACTAACGAGAATGGCCATGCTAATGGTCATGTAGAGCTTTCTAGACCCATTTACTACCGAACTATTAGGGGAGGTGCTCGTGTGCGATATACGCCTTATGATAGATATCCTCGTTGCCCATTTAGGGTGACATTTGCCTACCCGAACCACATTGTGCTAGCATTGGACGACGAGCGTCGTCAGTTGGTGACTGCCAACTTAGACTTACAGGCAGAGGTGGACGAGTTTAGACAGATGATTAGTACTCAGGGCGAGAGGATCGCTGAGCTTGAGGAGGTAGTACAGGGCGAGGTGGCTACAGCTGCAATTGTTCGTGAGGAGCTCCAGAGTACTAGGGCTCGACTCACTAGATTAGGAGAGGAGGTCCGTGATCGGGTTTCCGGGATCATGGCTGATGCCACTGAGATGATAGAGGGAGTGTCGGATATAGTTCAGAGCCCGATCCAGGAGGAGGACCCTGAGGAGGATCCGGAGGAGAATCCTGAGGAGAAGATTCCGCCTGGTAGTCCTGCTGTGGACTAGATCCCTAGTGATCGACTCTTTTGACCCTTTTGACTGGTGTAGATAGGATTAGCAGGGGTGATACTAAGTGCGGAGGCCATTGTATTTTGCATGACTGTGTGGCCAATTTTTGTGGCACTTGCTTTTACTATAGTCGTCTGTGACTAAAAGTACTTCTGTAGCTCTTGCGTGCTATATTTTTGTAATTTTTCCATGATTTGCTAATTGTATGAATTTTAAATGATAATGAATGTAAATTACTGTTATTTTCAATGCTTTCGTGATTGGTTCTTGTTTTAAGCATTTTCTCGCAAAATTGATTTATTTCTTGCACTAGGCACGCTTAGGTTATGGAAGGACTAAGAAGTGGTTGAGACCATGGACGAGGGACTAGACAGACCCAATCTCAGGGGGATGACCAGGAATCGGCAACTGGACCTACCCAAGGTCAGGAAAATATTGAGAAAAATCAAGTGGCCACTGCCATCAATAGAATGACTGACATCCTAGAACGCTTAACTGATAGGCAAGGTCTTGGACCACTTAACCAACCTGGGGAACGGGAAAGAGGAGAGGACCGAGCCTTAGAAAGATTTTTGAAGTTTAATCTGCCTAAATTCATTGGTGAACCTGATCCTGAGGTAGCGGAGAATTGGTTGGAAAGAATGACCAATATATTCACCGCCTTAGACTATACTGAGGATAGGCAAGTGAATTTTGCCTCTTTCCAATTTGAGGAAGTGGCTCGTGCTTGGTGGGACATGATAAAAGGAAAATGGGGGAGAGTTCAAACCCCTTGGACTTGGGAGAATTTCACGGGGGAGTTTAATGAAAAATTTCTTCCACCCCTGATTCAAGAAAAGAGGGAGGATGAATTTATCAAGTTGAAACAAGGGACCCTTAGTGTAGCTGAGTACGAAGGGAAATTTACTAAGTTTTCTAAGTATGCCCCTGAATTGGTAATCAATGAAAGGAAGAGGATAAGGCGGTTTGTGCAGGGACTTAACGTAGAGATTCAGGAGGATTTGGCTGTAGCCCAAATCTCCACCTTTACTGAGACTTTAGAGAAAGCGCAGCGAGTGAAAACTGCAAGAATGCAAATTAAAGACTTTCACAATAGGAAGGGTAACTTTTCTAGTCGTACTTCTGGACAGACTAGTAAGAGTTCACAGCCTTCTAAAGTTGGAAGAGGAATGGGATGAATAAGGACTACTGGACCTTCTAGGGGAGTTTTATCCAGAGGAGGTCGTAGTGGACCGGTTCATACTACGGGAGCGTCTTCTAGTGATTCAGCCGCGACCCCTCAAGTCACTTGCGGATATTGTGAAAAATCCAACCATTCTGAGAATGAATGTTGGAGAAAGTCTGGGTAGTGTTTGGCTTGTGGTAGCATGGAGCACCAATTTGTGAACTGTTCAAGTAAAATGAAGATTGAAGGTAACACTCAGAGGCCAGAAAAGTCAACCTCTAAACAGACCAGTGCTGGAGAAAGTCGACCTAAGGTATCGGCTAGGGTTTACGCTCTGGATCATCAGCAATTACCAGATGCAACTGAGGTGGTTGAAGGTACGGTTCCTGTCTTCCACCGTTTAGTTAAGATTTTGATTGATCCGGGTGCGACTCATTCTTTTGTAAATCCCAATTTCATGAATGGAATAGACTTGAAACCAATTAAGTTACCTTATGATTTGAAAGTTAAAACGCCCACTGGAGACAAAAGTTTAATTGCTAACCTGGTATATAGGGATTGTGAAATCTGTGTTGGGGAACGAAAAATGTTGGCCGATTTGATAGGCTTGGCAATTAAGGGATATGATGTGATTTTAGGGATGGATTGGCTAGCCCGTTATAATGTCCAGTTGAATTGTAGGACAAAAATTGTAAAATTGGGTATTCCCGGGGAGGCAACCCTGAAACTGGATGTGAGGGGTAAGTTGGTTTCGTCTGCACTTATTTCAGGAATTCGGGCTAGAAGATTATTAAGTAGAGGAGCTCAAGGATATTTGGTCTTCCTTATTAATACCCCTAGTGATAAGGCGAATTTGGAGGACATGCCTGTAGTGAAAGACTTTCTAGATATTTTTTCTGAAGAGTTAGAGTCTTTGCCCCCGGAACGGGATATAGTTTTTAAGATTGATTTGACCACGGGAGTAACACCTATTTCTAAGACGCCATATCGAATGGCTCCAGCCGAATTGAAAGAATTAAAATTACAACTACAGGATTTGTTGGAACGGAATTTTATAAGGAAAAGTGATTCACCGTGGGGAGCCCTGATTTTATTTGTTAAGAAGAAGGATGGGAGTTTGAGACTGTGTATAGATTACCGATACATAAATAATATTACAGTTAAGAATAAGTACCCACTGCCCCACATTGATGAGCTGTTTGACCAATTGCAAGGGGCGATAGTATTCTCGAAGTTGGATTTGAGACAGGGTTACTATCAATTGAGGATTTTGGAGAAGGATATACCCAAGACTGCTTTTAACTCGAGATATGGGCATTTTGAGTTTGCCGTAATGCCGTTTGGGTTAACGAATGCACCTGCTGCTTTCATGGATTTGATGCATAGTATTTTTAAACCTTATTTGGACCAATTTATCGTGGTCTTTATTGACGATATTTTGGTGTATTCTAAGAATATGGAGGATCATGAGAAACACTTGAGGATTATTTTGCAAACTCTAAGGGAGCACCAATTGTATGCTAAATTTAGCAAGTGTGAGTTTTGGTTAAAAGAAATAACTTTCTTGGGACACATAATTTCTAAGGATGGGATTAAAGTGGATCCAGCTAAAGTTGAAACTGTTTCGAAGTGAAAACGACCGGAAAATCCTATTGAGATTCGAAGTTTTATAGGATTGGCAGGGTATTACCGGATATTTATCCAGGATTTTTCTAGGATCGCTGGACCCATGACTGAGCTGACCAAGAAAAGTGGAAAGTTTATTTGGAGTTCTAAATGTGAAGAGAGCTTCCAGGAATTGAAAAGACGTGTGACTAGGGCACCAGTGTTAGCCCTACCGAACGGAAAAGATAGGTTTGTGGTCTACACAGATGCTTCTAAGGAAGGATTAGGCCATGTTTTAATGCAAAATGACAAAGTGATAACCTACGCCTCTAGGAAATTGAAACCACATGAAGAAAATTACCCGACCCATGACCTAGAGTTAGCGGCTGTGGTATTTGCTTTAAAGAAATGGAGGTATTACCTATACGGGGTGACATTCGAGGTTTTCACTGATCACAAAAGCCTTAAGTACTTATTTTCTCAGAAGGAGCTGAATTTAAGGCAACGTAGATGGATGGAATTTCTAGAAGACTATGATTGCACGATAAAGTATCATCCAGAAAAAGTCAATGTAGTGGCTGATACTCTAAGTCGTCAAGTACAAGTGGCCGGATTGATGATTCAGGAGCTTCACTTGTTAGAAGAAATTAGTTATTGGAATCCTCGATTGGAACCGAGAAAATAATCCTTGGGAACATTGTAGTGAATTTCATCTTGATGGGACGTATTAAAGAGTCTCAGGAAAAGGACCCTGAAGTGCAAAAGTGGGTGGAAAGAGTCAAAAAGGGAGAAAAGTCGGATTTTGATTTGAGATCAAGTGGTATTTTGAAATTTCAGAATCAGATAGTGGTGCCAAAAGATGAAGGGCTTAAGAAGGAAATTTTGGAGGAGACACACCGATCGAAGTTTACGGTACACCCTGGAAGGAATAAAATGTACCAAGATTTGAAGAGATTGTACTGGTGGGAGCGCATGAAAAAGGAAATTTTCCAATTTGTCCAAATCTGTTTAATTTGTCAACAGGTTAAAGCCGAACATCAGAAACCATCAGGAATTTTGTAACCTTTGAAAATACCTGAGTGGAATTGGAAGAACATCACTATGGATTTTGTATCAGGATTACCGAGAACACAAAGTGGCCATGATGCGATTTGGGTGATAGTGGATAGATTGGCCAAATCGGCTCATTTTCTGCCGATTAACATGAGGTACCCATTGGAGAAGTTGGCCAAGTTGTATTTGGATGAGATCATTAGATTACATGGAATTCCTGTCAGTATCGTGTCGGATAGAGATCCAAGATTTGTTTCGAGGTTCTGGCAAAAGATGCAAGAGGTGTTGGGGACTAAATTGAGTTTCAGTACTACTTACCATTCCCAAACCGATGGACAGTCCGAGCGGACGATTCAAACCCCTTAGGATATGTTGAGGACTTGTGTGTTGGATTTTGGGAAGAGTTGGAATAAGTATTTAACTTTGGTAGAATTTGCTTATAATAATAGTTACCACTCTTCTATTCAAATGGCCCCGTATGAAATACTTTATGGTCGAAAGTGTAGGTCTCCCATTTATTGGGACGAAGTAGGTGAACGAAAGATCTTGGACCCGACTACAGTGCCATGGATTGAGGAAGCTAATGAGAAAGTAAAGTTAATACGTCAGAGAATACAAACCGCACAAAGTCGTCAAAAGAGTTTCGCAGATAACCGAAGGAATGATTTGGAATTTGCGGTTGGAGATCTAGTGTTTCTCAAGATCACACCTTTGAAAGCGAGTTTGATGTCTGGAAAGTGGAAGAAACTACAACAAAGGTTCGTAGGGCTTTATAAGATTATCCAGCGTGTGGGGAGTGTAGCCTATAAGTTGGAATTGCCACCGAGTTTATCTCGGATCCATAATATTTTCCATGTATCCATACTTAAGAAGTACCATCCTGACCCTTCTCACATATTGCAACCGAAAAATATTGAGATTAATGAGACTTTGACCTATGAGGAGAAACCGGTGAAACTTCTAGATAGAAAGGTGAAAGAATTGAAAAATAAGCAGACACCTTTAGTAAAAGTTCTCTGCAGGAACCACGAGTTAGAGGAAGCGACCTGGGAAGTTGAAGAGGCAATCCGAGGAAAGTATCCAGACTTGTTCGCAGATCAAAGTAAATTTCGAGGACGAAATTTTCTTAAGGGGGAGAGGATGTAAAGACTCACAAAAAAAAATTAATTATTTAATTTAAACTCCAAATTCTAACTCATTTAATTATTTATTTGGCCAAATGCTCCGATTATTATTTTCTAACCTTTTTAGGCCTAATTAAATGTATCCATAGCTTAGTTATATTTTTAAAGTGACTCGTTTCGAAATTTAATTTGTGAAGGCTCGTTAAGTGAAAATAGTAAATACGCGACTGGAGTAAATAATCGATTCGATAATACAATAAGCTTGGAAAATTGGAGGCTTGTGTATTAGTCTCAAAATAGGTATTTTTACATTTAAGTGTTCAAAAGTTAATTAGTTATATTACCGTTATAAGAACTTCTTAGAAATTTCACTATCTCACGCTTAAATTGAAAATACGCGTTTTTACGTACGCGAGTAATTAAGGAACCTTAGACTATTATTTTGGGACTATTAAGAGTGAATAATAATAATATGAATGTAAGTGTATTAAAGGTTTAGTGCACTAGTGCAATAAATCCGTGAGAAATCGAGCACGAAACGCACGCGTACGTGCATTATTTTAGTGGACAGCTTTGAGTACAATTGAGTCACACGTTTTAAGCTTACCTTAGAAGCTCATACCATCAGCATTTCCTTCCTCTCATACTCACAAACAGCCGAGCAACAAAGGAAGAGCAAGACCAGAAAATTCCTCCACTCTCTCCTCAATTCCTTGCTCAATCACTTCCAAATTTTACATGCAACCCTCAAATCACTTGGTGATCAAGATAAGCTAGGAAAGGAGCTACCTCTCACGGTTTTTCTCCAGCTCAAAGTGACCGAAAATTTCTGTCTTGGCTCTCTAAGAAAGTAAGTAATGATCAACCACTTAATTCTTGTTTTATGGAAGATAGATTACACTCATGAGCTCTTGGATTCTCATGGGCAGTTTTAAATTGCTGGAAAATTGGTGAGTGGGCTCTATGAAATCCCACAATGACTTTGATGATCTGATTTGATAGGATTGAATGCTAATTGTGTTGATTAAAGGCTAATTTAGTAGAGTTAAGTGGCAAAAATGAAAAGGAAGTCAAATGAGGAGTTGCATGTGAAGGTGCCAATTCTGCCCTGCTATTTTCGTGCATTTTAGTGTACTTTCTTGAAGTCCAATTGACTTGTTTCTGATGCAAATGTGAAATATAGGTTGTGTTTAAAGTTTCCTAAAAGTTTTACGTGATTTGGGTGGGTGCATGTTGAGATTTAGAAAATCTGTCAAAACTGGGAAATGATTCCCGTCACTACCAGACAGCCATCTTGTTTCGACTATAATTCATCGCTCCGATGTCGGAATCTAGTGCCGTTTGCGGCACTAGAAACTAGACATTCCCATCTTTCATTTGGTATAAAATTCAATCCCTAATTCTACCCGAGTACCCCGTACCAACCTTTTAAAGATGACTGTCCTGTTTCTCTGTTTTTCTGGAATGAAGTTCAGAAGCAATAACTTGAGACTCGAATTTGAGCTAGTTGTGTGCTGAATTTCAAAACGATTTCTTCTGTGAAATTATAGTTTTATGAATGTATTTTCCAATGCTACCAACCATGCTCAATTCAATACGAAACCTGCCATGTTCTTGAAAACCCTAAATTTTGGGCAGAATTGATGCTAGATTTGGTGTGGACTTGCCAATTGAGTTTCTTGGAGTTAAAACAATTACCAAATGTACCATGAATGTTCCTTAGGCTTTTTCTACACTAATGAACCATATTTGAAGGATTTTCCTTGGCCAAATGTTTGGAATGGAAAACAAAAAGCTCAAGAGGTTTCCAACGGTACCAAGTTTTCCAATTTTCGACTTGTAAAACATGAGATACGATTTTTCTAATATATCGTATCAAAACTGAAATTTTCCGAATTCCAAGGAAATGGAGTTTTCAAGCACTCCTTATTCCTTCGATATTACTTGAACGATTTATACTTAATTTCCAAGATGAAAACTAAATTTCTCCTGTACTTTGAAACCCCACTTGAGAGCCTCGATTTAGGATAAGTAGGCTCGTTTCACGAGACTTTCTAAGATTGTACTATGGTACGATCTTCTTTAATAATAGGGGTTTGTGAATGATAGTTTATTATTATTTGCTCAGGCGCACACGAGGACCTTCAAGAGAATCCTACAGTGAATGCCTAAAGCTCCGAGGGACATTTCTTCCTCATTACTTATATTAGTGAGTGTCAAGTGCATGTTTACTTGCACTTCGCTTGAGATCTGTTGCCTACATGAACTCTACTTGAACCTGTTGTTACTTGAACTGTACTTGTTGGGGAAAGTGTGTACTTTGCCGCACTTTATCTCCTTTACTTGGATCAATAAATGACTTGCTACATGAATTACATGAAATTGCTGGATTTTACATGTATATGACCTAAAATCGAATGCAGAGAAATCTCATCGGCTAAAACTTGATTTGTTTCTGAAAACCTGACCTGTAGGGACGCCCAAAACCCAATGGTTATACCTCGTAATCTCCCAGCCAATCGTGAGGTCTTGGTCAAGAGAACTTGGTAAATCTTGGGACCTGAAGCTTGATCTTTTGAGATCTTGCTTGGCATACTTGTATAGTATCGCCTTTACATGCCTGTTGGTTACGGATCCGAGAGGGTGAAATGATGGATGGAGGAAAGTAAGTGGTGATCTACGGATTGAAAATACCCACCGGTTGACGGAGAGTCATCGCGGGAAGGTGTACGAATGATCCTGGCAATGCAAGTGGTACTTAGCTCCTGAGAGCTACCATATCCTTGAATTGTTTCTGTTTACAATTCATTGGAATTGGCAATTACTTGTACTTTATTATTTGACCTGTTAATTGGGCTTGTTACTTGAACTATTTGCTTGCATGTGTGTCCTTGGTCTCACGAGCGTTTCGCTCACCCTGTAGATTTGTTTTCCTTAACAGGATTGGGCATGGAATGATACCTGGAGGAACTCTTTTGATACACTTCTGGCTTAGGATTTTAATATATTTTGGGTTAGACCTCTTACTGGTTGTACTTCGGAAACCTAATATATGATTTGGATATTTGATGTACCCGGATGTAGTATATTTTGGGTAATGATGTACCTTTTGGGAATTTAATGTAATGATTGGATAAGCGTTATGTATATTGTTAAGTTTGGGAGTTTTCCGCACTTTCTTACTTATCTAGTGTTGTTGAATGATTTTGCTTTAAGCTTGAATGGAAACTGCTTGAGTCCTGGCGAGAGTTGGGCAGACGTTCCGCGAATACCCTCTGGTTCGCCTTAGGGAGAAGTGGGGACGTCACATTCGCTATATTTTAACATCTTTAGAAGAACTGAAACAATAATGAGTAATTTTTTTTTAATTGCAATATAGTTTTTCTGTCCAGTGGTTAGGGAAGAGTTTGTGAAATCTTTCCTGTTGTGAAATTTAGGGTTTAAATATTGTGCTTGATAATTGGGTATGGAAGAGTGGTGAGAGGGCCCAAAAAACTGTGAATATAACTTTATTCTAGACAAAATTCTTTTTTTTTTCAAACTTCCCCAAACAAGATTTCTTCTTTCCTATTTTAATTTTCCCCTGGAGATTTAACCTTCAAATTCTTTTTGTCTTGCGATTTCCTCAGAAAGGAATTCACCAACTTTTTTTCTTTTAGTTTGATCAATCAACTTTGTGTTATATTTTTCTCCTGTCTATAAAAAGACTGACTGTATATTTGACATGTGTATGTTTGTTGATCAAAATTTCGGTAATTCAAAAACCATGAGAATGCAAGTTAGCTCTACCATTCCAGTGGCTAAGGTTGAAATCTCAAAATATAGAGATTTTGGATTCTAATCCCCTGCTCCCGTTTTGTTTCTTAAATCACATCCCTCTTTTGCTAGGAGAGGGAAAAAAAAAAGAGCTAGTTCCATCGTTGTTTGGTTACTTTCACCAATTTTGTACCTCTCATTTGGCCTTTACCTTTAAATTTCACTACCTGTTCAAGACCAGCATTCAGAAATGCATATCATATATATTGCAAAGCACTAAACTGATTTCTATAATTAAGAATGTTAACAGAACCCGGAAACGAAAATTATCACTAATAGGACCGGCAAAGGAGGTGGGCCAGCTCAAACTCAACCCATTTGACCCAAAAAGTTCATTGAGTCTAAGTTTTGACGAACAGTACTCGAACTTAAGTATCAGCTCCGAATTAGACGTGAGCCAAGTTTGGCCATCCTAGATTTAGGTCCAATTAAAGTTTGACCTATATATGAGTATAATTATACATGTAAAAAATAGAATAAATCTTATATACACTAACAGTGTATACACTATCACCATTTGATTCATGACATGTATGTAAAAATTAAATTTTAAATTCAAAGTTTGCATAGTTGTCATTCATTCAACACTGATAGTGTATACATTTGTTAGTGTAGGAAAGATTAATCCTAAAAAATATATAATAATATCTATATTTATAATTATCTATACTATATATAAAGAGAGAGGAGGGGTTTGGGATAAATAAAAATCTGTCACTTTATATACTTCCTAAATTGCCCTTAATTATGAGAGAACTTTTGGTATAAACAAAAATCTATCTATCTTTGATAACTACTTACTACCAATATGATTGTTTACCAAGTAATATGTATTTTTTCATATTCTATTTTTTAATTTATTTACTAAATTTTAATTTTGATTAGCAACTACCAATTATAATTTTGAATAACTACCAAATAACTATTTTTTTTAACTTTTATTTTGGTGAATTTTTTACATATATATTTTCAAAATATAAATCCAATTTTCTTGCTAATGATTTCAATAAATATACTCAAAATATTTCACAAATATATTTTTCTATTAGTTGCACACATATTAGTGTGTGCTTTGAATACTAGTACGTATTACAACGTAAAACATTAATAATTTATATGTAAATTTGTATTAATTCATAATTATAAAAATATAGATTATATATAATTATGTATTTAATTATGAGTTTGGCCCAAACTCGATTTGAGCCCGAAACTCATATGATAGTGGGAGTTGAGTTTGAACCTTTTTAATATGAGCTTGAAGCCTAAAAGGCCGAAACTTGAAAATTCATATAACTTGTGAGCTGAATTTGAACTTGTTGAAACTCGGTTCAAAAAGTTCGATTAACACCTCCAATCACTAAAGCAATTATAAATTTACAATCTATACTATATATAAAGCAAGAATGTCCTATATCTATATCTCTCCTTTTTTATCTTTTTCTTTTGCAAAATTTGTCCAAAAAAAACCTTTGAATAATGTGAAAGATTTACACAATAATAAATAACGATCAAATACTAGTCATCTGTGTATTTCTATTTCGTTCAAGTCTCCGCATATTCATAGTTAAACCACCAAATTAATTTCTATAAATAACTTTAGTTTTTTATTAGTTGTAGATACACATAGGGTGCGTTAAATAAAACTAAAATGTGAAATCCGAAGTCTAAAATCAGAAAATTGAAGTATGAGTTTGTTAAATTATTGAATTGTAAATATTAAAATCCTAGTATTTGAGCACATTCTACATTAAGTGATAGGTGAATAATTTATCACTTATTTTTTGGAATAAATTTTACCTACACAATTCAGACCTACTTAATTAATTAAGATTGTTTAGTTTTTGCTATCAAATACACCTGAACTTATTACGGGAGTGTTTGGATAGTAAATTTCTCCAAATAATATTTCGCTTGCGTCATAAACACATTTTCCAATCCAACTTTTTATATTTTCATCCATCTTTCTATTTCACATATATCACATCATAAAAAATGTTACAGTAATTATTTCAAATAATATTTCAAATAATACTGACTTAGATTATCAAATATGGGCGTGATGCGCCTCATAACCACTGTTGATAACCCAAGTATACAGATAGATGGTAGGATTCGTGATGATGGGATAAGCTTCCTCTCCTCCTAAACTTTTTTTTTTTTTCTGAAAAAAGAAAAAACAAATGATGAGATCCATGATGATTTCTCAGGG